GCTTTTACAGTGGAGGGGAAATGGTGGGAAGGTGAGAGGGAATGAGTGAATCTCATTTTCATCAGATTTGGCTTAAGGAGAGAATAACATACCTACTCAATTGGGTATGGAAATCTATCTTACCCTACAGAAAATAAGCAGGAAAGGGGACAAGAGAGCAGAAGGATGATAGAGTAGAGGGCAGATTGGGGGAGGGGGTAATCAGAAGCAAACACTTCTAAGGAGAGACAGGGTCAAAAGAGAGAATAGAATAAATGGGGGGGCGGGATAGGATGAAGGGAAATACAGTTAGTTTTTCAAAACATGACAGCTATGGAAGTGTTTTGCATGACTACCCATGTATAACCTGTATGGAGTTGCTTGCCTTCTCAATGAGGGTGGGTGGGGAGGGAGGGAGAAAATTTGGAACCCAAAATTTTAAAAACGAAAGTTAAAAAAAAAATGTGTTTTCACATGCAACTGGGAAATAAGATATATAGGAAATGGGGTATAGAAATCTATCCTGCCCCATAGGAAAATTGAAGGGGAAGGGGATAAGAGAAGGGGGGGAGAGATAGAAGTGAGAGGGCAGATTAGGGGTATTTGGAATGCATTCCATCTTGGGGTGGGGGGAGGGATGAGATGGGGAGAAAATTTGGAACTCAAAATCTTGTGGAAGTGAATGTTGAAAACTAAAAATAAATTAATTTAAAAAAAAAAGAAAAATCTTGCCTTGTCAAATTTTAGCCTTGCATCATTCCCACCATCTGTCACCTTCACTTATACTCAAATACTACTGAAGGAAGCTGGAAAAAATCACAAATCCATACTGAATGCATTCATTACAAATAACATGACTCTCAACAAGATGTTCACTGTAGCAAGACGATTGTTTTACACCTCTGTAATCAATACACTATCTCGCACACTAGAGACTTTTCCAAAACCTGTTCATTCCTTTTCAAGCCTTCCATAGTTCCCTCCTTATCCCCACTCTATTAGCTGAGAAACTTTCCTCATAATTCCTGAAAAACTGAAGCCACTTGCTGAGTTCCCTCCCCTTCCTCATCATATCACTCAGATGCCATCTACTATTATCTCCTCCATTCCATCTCACAAGAAGGGGCCCATCTCCTCATCAAGGCAAACTAGCTATGTGCACAAATGCTGAGTACAAAATCGGTCCTTGCCCTCAAGGAGCTTTCATTCTAATGATATCCTAATACCCCTAGAGGATGTTTTCCCCAGAGAAATTTTTTCTGAAAACTTCTGAGCAAGGTATAGAGAACTGGACTCAAAGCAGGAAGACCTGGGTTCAAGACTGGCCTCTGACATAACTGGTTGTGTGTTCATTGAGCAAGTCACTTGGCTTCTTCGTGTTGTAGCAGCTCTGGGCAATACTTTTGGTGGGCTTCTTTAAATCGTTTTTCATGGAAATCTCTATAACATGTCCAGAAGAGTCTAGCTCTTTCTAGACTCCTGAATAAGGAAAGTAACTGAATTCAGATAACTTACCCCTTGACAAAATATCCCCTAAAAAGGTTCCAACAACACTATACTGGCACTGAATCCACTGCATTAGAATTAAATTACTTTAGAGGAATTATTTTTCTTCCTAGGACTTTCGCAGAGCAAAAATTCAATGTCTTTTCCCTCATGTAATTTTGTAAATTACTTAATTTTGATAATTTAAAGAAATCCATCTGGTTTCTGTGAAGTATATATGAATAATACACAAAAAAATATGGGTGACATCACACAAAAGTGGAATCACAAAATGGAGCATTTACCATGCATCTCACATTATTTCCACTTCCTAGGTTTGACTGTCAGTGTAGAGTGAAGAGGAAATTAAGAACAGATATCCATTACCCACTCAACAACTTGGATCTTTCTCCTTATATTTATCCACTTTTTCGGAAACATCCTAAATACAGCCTTTGTGGAGTGGTGGTGAGTAATATGGTCAAATTGTTCTAAGTAACCCAAGAACTTTAAAAGAAAACTGCTGGCTTATCTACAATATATCCTATGACCTCTTGTTACAAGGTATAAAACTAGCAACAACTGATTTTCATCTGGATAAGGCCTTTAGCACGCTCTGCACTCAGGTTTCCAGAATCTACACCAACTTCAAATTTACATGCCGACTTGGTTGTGGAATCATTTTAAGATTTAGTGAATTGAGTTGGAGAAGGTCTTGGATAACTTAGAAGGGCCAAGTGTGTCAGGAGTGGATCACCCAGGGCTCTTTCCAAAGCCACGGTAGCTAAACGCAAAGATAAGAGCAACATATTGCAGTGGAGTGAGAGATTCTGTGGAAACAGAAGGTTCTTTTCGGCCAGTGTCTCATCCCTAGTCCTTCCTGAACACTTCTTTAAAAAGTTATCTTTAACAGCATTTTGCTGCTATTACTTTCCTGTTTGGAAAACCGTAGTGCCTTCCTTGTCTATCATATAAAATCCAAAATCCAATATGCTCAATTTGTCTTTAAGACTTCACAAACTGACTTATCCCTCCCTTCTGCCCCAATTTCTCATTATAGATATTGCTATTTTTAAAAAATTCCAACGTATAAAAAGTTGTGCTCAAAATTTTAAAGGGTAATTATTTATATTACCAAAAGATTTATAAAGGGACTTGGCTAAGATTTCTTAAATAACCACCCCTTCTTGCACTTAAATAGTATTAACTTATTAGGAAATATGATAAGAAGAGGCTTGAACTAATAAAAATTCAGATGGTCTGAACGCTGAAGATCAATCAGAAGTAAAGACAAAACATCTCTGAAATGATTGCTAGGCCATCAGGAAAAATAATTTTTTGTTGTCTCAAATCTCAAATGTGTAATGTAAAATACCTCATACTCTATCTTAGCCACACAAACCGAGCTCTATGCCAGCATCTGCTTTAATATCCATACATTTCCCTCATTAGAAATGTTCTATTATTTTTTATATATTAATCTATTGAAATTGCTGTCTTGCCTTCTCAGTGAGGCTTCCCTGCACCTTATCACTTCAACACCATTACTCTAAATCCTCCCAGAATTCATGTTCTAGATAGTATTTATACCACAGTAACCTATTTGTTTATAAAGTCTCTTTTGTAAATGATTTTTTTCCCTTTCATGTATTAGCTGCTCTCCCTAATGAAACCTCATGTTCCTTTGGGGCAAGTAGTAAGCAACTCCCTCTTTCATGTTCTAACAGTGGTTATCTTCACTAACCATAAACCATGTACTTCCTAATGTTGTCAACCTATTTGCAAAACTTTTAATATTTGATAGACTCAATGGATATAGTCTGTAGGTAGTCCCAGTGGTCTAAAAACACAATAAATAAATCAAGTCCTTTAAGCTTCTGCTCAACTAATTATTAAGGATCCCAAATTTGGAAAATTTAATCATTTCCTAAACTTAGTACTATAATTTCTTATGCAAAAAAAAAAAAAGTCTTCCCCTAGACTTCTTTGTGTTTTAGTAGTTCGAGAATCTTCACATGGAAAACAAAATAAAACAAACCTAAAAAATAAACCAGCTAAACATCTCTCTCTCCTTCAGAACCACTTTGGTGATCTAGATGGTGGCCACTACACGGCATTCTGCAAGAACACAGTCAGCCAGACCTGGTATAGCTTTGATGATACCCGAGTTTGTGAGATTCCAGACTCCGCAGTCCAAACCGCTGCTGCCTACCTCCTCTTCTACAGCTGCCAGCCCTTTTCTATACCTACCCCAAAATGCAAGTGCTAGGAAAATGATGTTTTCTGAGAACTGTGAAGCAAGAGATCACAAGTCACAGTGGTAGCCGTTTTTGCTTAACATTAAACCTGTGCATCTGATATGACTCCCTGGCATTTTTAAGTCTTTCCAAGTCATGAGACCTGGCCCAAATCACAAGAGAGTGCGCTAATAGTGCTAAGACTATTCTAACTTTTTAGTGTCTAGTATCATACCGTTTCCCCCCGTAGTGCGGGGCCTGCAATAGCCAAGTAGGCCAAGAATAATTCTACAGCTTGAGTATTCCAGGTGGTTAAGACAACAGTAACCTTAGGACTTGTGGAGAATCTGTTCCTTGACTGGTACCAAGACAGCCCCAGACCCATCATAATTCCCAGAGATCACACAGGTTTCTATGCCTGGAGTAGGTCAAAAGTAGTCAGTCCTTCTACGATAAAAACAATCATTTATTAAGCACCTATGTGCCAGGCACTGTGCTAAATGCTTTACAAATACCTCATTTAACACAACAATCTTGAGAGACAGATGCAATTATTCCCATTTTGTAGCTGAGGAAACTGAGGCTGATGGCGGTGTGATCTGCCCAGAATCACACTGCTAGTAAATGCCTGAGGCCATATCTAAACTCAGGTCTTCCTGACTGCAGGCGAGGCACTCTATTTACTGCATCACCTAGCTGCCTCTGGGGTGGCTGTGATCCCTTATGGTAATTCCAGTCCAGAAACCATAGTTTTAAAAGTTCTGACTCATCATTAGGTTCAATGATGAACTTAATCCTTACACTAACTGGTACTTTGGCTATGGAACCTTCCTTTAAGCCAAGGGTTCTTAACCAGCTTTGGCGTGGGGGTTTGGGGGTGAACTTTTTTTTTGACATTGATAAACTATTTCAGTAGAACTGGTTTCTTTTGTAATCCTATGTATTACATGCATTTAAAAACATTATACTGAGGAATCCTTAGACTGTCAAAGGGGTACATGACACAAAAGAGGTTAAGAACCCTGCTCTAGGCTATGCTCATTTGGCATATATTGGCTTAAATTATGCTATCATAATGGCTATAAAACTTAAAACATAAAACCTCCTCATTTTGTTACTTGAATTTACATTCCCACATAAAATTTCGGATTAAGATGCAACTTGACCTCAGTTATGGTGGGTTTTCATTGTCCTTTTAAACAAGCAAGCACTATTTAAACATTCCAAATTAAAATTTTTCCTTTGTATTTAATTATGGCTCAAATTATCAAGGGATCAAGGGGCCACTGTTTTGATTCAAATGCCTTATAGCTCTTCAGTAATGAAATAAAAATTCCATTAATTAGAATATATGCAAAACATTTGATATTGTTGGCTTAATCTCTCAAACCTTGAGTCCCAACTCTTCAGTTTAGCCATTCAGTAGGAATTCTATTAAGATATCTAGTGACACTTTAGGTGTGAGTTTCCATTTCATTTTTTAGAATAAAATTTAAGTGCACAAAGTCAGACCAAAATCAGTAAAAAAAGTTTATTAATATTACATAATCTTAACTGGGTCCTCACTGAAGCAAGACAATTCTTTTACAACTTCCTAATTGACTCACTACCCCACTCATCACAGCAGCTTTTCCAGATCTTTTCACCCCTCCTCAAACCCTCCATGGCTTTCCCCTCACCACCCTCCTTCTCAGCTGAGAACCTGTCTCATACTTCCTTGAAAAAATTAAAGCCATTTGCAGAGGGTTTCCTCTTCTCTCCTCCTTCTCACATCACTCATGTACCTTCCCTTGAAAATCTTCTCCTTCAGGCCCAACTCACACAAAGGCTCTTCTCCTTGCTATGGCAAATTCATCTACTTGCACAAATCGTCCCTACTCCAACCCATTTTCTCCATCAAATTGCCCCCTCTATCGACCAAGCTCCCTCTACTCATCTTCAATCAACCCTCACTTGATCCATCTATCTCTGCTAGCTATCATCCTGTATTTCTCCTCCTTTTTATGGCTAAGCTCATTACAGTCAGTGCCTCCACTTCCTTTTCTCTCATTCTCTTAACACTCTGCAGTTTAGATTCCAACCCCAACATTCAACTGTAACTGCTCTTTTCAGTTACTCTTAATTGGCAATTAAGATCTTTTCTCAGAATGCATCCCCCTTGACCTTTCACACTGCTGATCACCCTCTTCTGGATACTCTCCTCTAGGTTTTTCTGGCATTGCTCTCTCCCAGTTCTCCTTCAACCTATCTGACTTAATCCTTCATAATCTCTTTTGCTAGATCTTTCTCTAGGTCACAACCATTAACTATGAATGTTCCCCAAAGGTCTGTCCTACGTCCTCTTTTTCTTCTCTCTACACTTGGTGATTTCATCAGCTCAATTATCATCTATATGCAGGTGACTCCTAGATCTATAAAGGGTTTCTCAAAAGCCTTAGTGAAATTTTAAGACATTATGTATTTAAATTAATAAGTTTATAAAATTAAATATTTATGATATTAAAGCTTACAACTACACTAAGGCTTTTGGGACACACAGTACATCCAGTCCTTTGTCCTGACCACTAGTCTCACATCACCAATTGTTGCCTATTGGACATCCCAAACTGAATGTCCCATAGACATATCAAACTCAATATGTCCCAAACTGAACTTGTTAGATTTATAATTTGTTCAAAAATTCAATTTTATTTTCAGTTCTGAATTAATTCTTTCCCTCCTCCCCCTTCCCTCACCTACTGAGTTAAGAAAAAACAAAATCCATTACAAACACAGAGTCAAACAAAACAACCATGTCAAAAAAGAAAAGAAAAAGAAAAAAGACTATATCTTTTGGTCTGCACTGTCAGGAGGTGGACAGCATGTTTCATCTGGAGTCCTTTGGTATTGTGGTGGGTCGCTGTGTTGATCAGGGTTACCAAGCCCTTTCATGTTAATTTATCTTTACAACGCTGCTATTATTATATACATTGTTCTCCTGCTTCTGCTCACTGTCCTTTGCATTAGGTCACATAAATCTTCCCAGGTTTTCTGAAACCATCCCCTTCATCACTTCTTACAGCACATTTGTCTTCCACCATATTTATATATTATAACTTGTTTAGCTACTCCCCAGTGGATGGACATCCTTTCAGTTTACAATCCTTTGCCACCACAAAAATATTTTTGTACATATGGGTACTTTTCCTCTTTCTCAGATTTCTTTGGGGCATAAACCCAGTAATAGTATTTCTGGGTCAAAGAGTATGCATTTTTAATAGCTTTTTGTGTGCAGTTCCAAATTGCTTTCCAGAATGGTTGAATTAGTTCACACCCCCACCAATAGTGCATTAGTGTACCTGTTTTCCTATATCCCCCCCAGCACTTGTCCTTAGAACTCACTGCCTTTCCCCCAAAACCTTCCACTCTTCCTAACTTCCCCATAATTGTCAAGGGCACTACCATTTTCCTAGTCACTCAACTCTGCAACCTCAGTGTCACACTCACCCCACATATCCATTTGTCAAGTCCTGGTATTTCTACTTTCACAACATCTCTTATACACATCCCCTTCTCTCCACTCATATAACCACTGTGATGATGCAGGGTCTCATCACATCCTATCTGGACTATTGCAGCAGCCCCATGGATGGCATCTCCACATACTCTTGCCACAGTAACACTGGCCTTTAAGCTATTACTCATACAAGACATGCCATCTCCAGACTTCACGTCTTTTCACCTGCTATCTTCTATGTCTGGAATGCTCGCACTCCTCTCCTTAACCTCTTGGCTTCCTCAGAGGCTCAGTTTAAATGCTGCCTTCTACAAGAGATCTCATCCTGATCTCATTCCTGGTCTTATTCCCCAGTCCTGTCCTCCCACCCCTGCCCCCATCCACCCCCCCATAAAGGTCTTCCCTCTGAGATTACCTCCCATCTATACTGGATATATCTTGTATGTTCATAGCTATTTGCATATTTGTCTCACTCATTAGAACACTAGTTTCTTGAAGGCAGGGATTATGTGTTCCAAAAGTCTTAGTGTAGTTGCAAGTTAATAAAGCTAAAAGCTATATTAAGATTTTTGGGACACCTATTTCCCTGTATTTCTAGAGCTCAGCACTGTTTGGCACATAGTAGGTGCTTAATAAATGCTTACTAAATAAATGACTGAATGACATTAACAGATTATATTTCACTGATTTCTTTGAGAGATAATGATTCCACTAATAGGTCACTCTATCCATAACCAATCATCACATCACATTTAAATGGTCTTTAAGATTTGCAAAACACTTTACATCTATTATCTCACTTGATCCTCACAATAAACCAGGTGAGATAGGTGCTATTATTATCCCCATTTTGTGGATAAGAAAGGTGAGTCTGAGAGAAATTAAATGATTTGCCCTGGGTCACTCAGCTAGTAAGGTTTTGAGGTAAAAGGCCCATGTTTAAATCATACCTAAGTCTAGGACACTACCCAATATGTGAAACTTCCTCATTTTTAACACTTGATTAAAATGTACCTTGATATAATTTTCATCCTTTTTTTTCCACATTTCATTTTCTAAGAGACATGCAAGAAAAAGGCTTAATTCTAAGTTAATATATTTGACCTTGCCCACTGACTTAGAGACAAATAATTGTTGTTTTATTCATTGCTTTTTTCAGGTAGATTTGCTATTATAGTCTCAGTAATATCAAACTCAAATAGAAATGGAGGCTGCTAACAGGTATTTAAGGATCCCTTCAAGCTGCACATTGATTTAGTTTTAAAGTGTAATACTATTTATGTGTTATTGTGTTTTCATTTATTTTGTTAAATATTTCCCAATTACATTTAGATCTGGTTCAGGCTGTACTCAAGAGTGTTGTGGGCTGCATGTTTGACACCTCTGGTCTAAAGAAACTATTAGTTGAGTGAAGGCAGTAGGATAAAACATACCCTGAAGTTGGTGCTTATGGTTCTTCTGTGTTACATCAGATAACAGGAAACTTCAATCAAGACAGAACACTTAACAGCATTTTGGGATTTAAAATAATTTCCT